AAAAAAAAACACATTGATTCATGCTCTAAACCAAGCCACTTTTCGTGCACCTGTGAAGTACCAGTAGGTGGCGTGCGTGAGCACCAGGTGATAATCATGTTCAATGAAGGGAGCTAAAAGGTGAAGGTGACACGTATGATGACAAGCGAGTGCCAGCTGGACGATGATACAACACATTCTCAGGGATTTCGAGTGAACCGATTCAATTAATAAAGAGAACTGAATGTACAGTAATGGACAAACTCAGAGCGGTTCTGGGTGGTCATGATGGAAACAACGACAACAGAAATGTACTGCAGGTAAATGACTGTCTTTGTGCTCTGCTATTAGCTCTTCATTAGGATCTTTTAAAATATTTAAAAAATGTATAAACAATAATATGATGCTGATTTTGTACGTATTGATATAACGACTTCACATTTTGAAACTTTTTATTTTGGGGAGGGGAAAAAAATCACAGTCTGTTCACTCTGTAAAGGCGGCGAATGAAGCGTCCACGCTGGGATGGGGAAACCGCATGAAAGGATTCCTCGTCTGTATGGTCATCGGAGTAGTGTGCACTATCCTGGTCAGTGACTTAAAGTTTACATAATTGTATTTTGGTTATCAGTGGACTTTTACACACGGGTAACTTCCTGACTGTTGAGAAGGGATAGGCGAGGAGTTGGAGGAATATGTTTAGAAGCAGAGCTGTGTCACCGGTTAGACCTGCTCTCAGGAATGAGATGGTTGAGCACTGCAAAATGGCATTTCAAGTATCTTGAGAAGATACTTTGTTACTGTTAACCAAGTTCCATTATATTAATAACCATCCTTTTTTTCTCAGGGAGTATGTTGCCTGTTTATTCCTAAAGTAGGGCTGATTATCTTCATTGTGTTTTACACATTTGGCAACATATGCTCCTTAGTAAGGTAAGTCATAAAAATTGCAACTTAAATGCTCTAACTATTAATTATTGCATTTTGATGACTTCACTGTTTAATTTGAACCTACCCCCAGCACCATGTTTCTGATGGGGCCAGTGAAACAGCTGAAACGGATGTGTGACAAGACCAGAGCCTTTGCTACAGTTATTATGATAGTGAGTTATTTTCCACACACTAATATCCTCGTGTAAAACTAAAAATGAGGATCTGGACTGACTGCAAAAATAATGCATATGCCAGTTGGGTCTTTCAATTTCAGACTATTAACCCTTTGAAGCAAAGGCAATGCCAATTGCCAGAAGTTTATTATTGATGACTAATTGTACAACATTCATACAAAATCATGAAAATATTTAAAGTCAATAAGAAATCAAAATGTACCCTTTTTTATTGCATGATCCTGGTGTTACTATGAACAGATCATCTGTGCACATTTCTAAAATGTTCATAATAATATCATCAATAATGTTAAGAATTTAATGATCCAATACATTTCTTATTGATAAAATGAAGTCCCGCCATGGATTCTGTTTCCTCATTAAATATCTCATGTTTGATTTGGATATACTTCTCATTTTGCAAGTAAAATTCATGTTGTATTTAAATAAATGACTTTTAAATTTCTCCTAGAATTAGTGCCATCTCAAAAATGTGTTGGATGCACCAGCCATTGGAAAAAAATATTTTAGTTCATGTGCATCCTTTGGAAATCTTCCAGTTACAGCGAATACAGATTCTGATGATAGATACAGTATTTTTGACCAGCTTAGCAATGGGTACTGAGAGTTACACTTTTTATTTTGTGGCCTACAGACATGTCTGGTTCTCACACTCTGTGCAGCTTTTTGGGTGAGTTCTAGTCTATCCTTACTGTAGATTTCAAACTAAGTCTGAATCAGATGATACAGTATTATTTGATGCTTTTTTAACACTGATCTCTGTACCACAGTGGAAGATCTTTGCACTCACTTTGCTGTTTGTCATTCTGCAAGTCCTTGCATTTGCGTGGTAAGTTTCCTTGATGCTGTGTAGTAAATATATTTTAAGCATATTATTTAAATAAGTAGCTTAGCACCCAGTTTAATATTGTACTGAAATACATTTTATCAATTTAATTTTTTTTCTCTATAGGTATAGCTTGTCATACATTCCTTTTGCAAGGTTAGTTATGTTTTGTGATTTCAAAATATCGAATTAACAGTCATACAGATATTAAC